AAGTATATAAATGTTTCTCTTTGAATAATAATGTATGCTATAGTTTCTCCACAAAAAAATCAATTATATTGTTAAAATCCTTAAAATGACATCTACACCTTCTCCCTCATTAAAAATGCTAGAATCTATCAATATGCCAATTTTATTCTTCATCCCAAAGGTTTCACTGTTAAGTCCATTCTCAGTGTACGTGCACTGGAGGCTTCAAGTTTCCACATCACACTTGTGTAAGTTGAACATTGGACCATGACTGGCTTCTAAAATATTTGTGATGTCACAAATCATGCTTGTAGCCCTTCCAAAGAATGAACGACATATTTAAGTTTTTGGCTTTTGATATGCAGACATATTTTAATTAAATGGTTCAAACACAGGCTACATAAGCCACCAACATAGGCTCGTAGCCCTAGCCCTTAAAATCATATGAGCATTTTCAGCAGATAAATGTGAAAACAGCCTTCGAGTGTCAAGCTCTGCACATACATCATTCTGCAGAGTAAGGCTCAAACATTCATCTGTAGGAACAAGAAGAAAACACATTTTTGAGTGGAGGAGGATTAAGTTATTGTAAACCATGGTTTTTAAAACCTTACAACCTGCACCTGACCCCCTATGAGAGCCAACCCATCCCGCACCGCCACTGTCTGAGGTGCTGAACAGGTACTGTAGGCCAGATGCTGCAGAGAAATCCGTATTAACAAGAGGCAGAAGAAAAGAAAATAAATCCAATTAAACGACATATTTGCTGCCACAGAGTAATTCTGTGAGCTGACAAGGAATGACCAATGTGTGTGTGTGTGTGTGTGTTTCTGTAAGGTATTTCTAACTTACTCAGAACACTGCTCTGTCACTTTCTGATCCGCCCCACCCAACCTGCGGGTTGCTTGTCAACACACGCATCACTATTGGCAGGTGTATAAGTAAACAAACAAACAACAACCACCACAAAGATCATTATTCAGTCTCATATTACATTTGTGGGAAGTTATTACAGTTTAGATTTTCACCTTCCCACATATGTAATAATTTTCCGCAAATGTAATAGTTATTACATTTGCGGAAAATTGTGTGTTACATTTGTAGTAGGCAGCTGCTATTGCATTTGTGGGAAATTTATTACATTTGCGGGATTATTACATTCAAAGCTGCAGATTTGTATTACGTTTGTGGGCTGTTATTACGTTTGCGGGTGTAACAAACCATTTTTTGTATTTTTGAATTTGATTATTAAACAAATAATGAAAAAAAACGTTTTTTGATTTTTTAATTTAAAGGAGCTATATGTAAGAAATCTAAAGCAAATAGTCATAAAATCCTCCTAATATGTCACAGAGACTAAGGAATAATGTTCTTATAACATACTGATCTCACCAACAACAACAGTACGGCCAGAATATTCGCATTTATAAAAATATTTTACAGTCCACAAATCACTTTATGTTTTGAATTTGTGTTTTGGCCTGTTGCACCACCCACCGCTGTCTACCAGTCATACAGTCAGTAGAGTCTCAGCATCAGTTACAGTTACGACTGAGATACAGCAGCACGGCAAGCAGCATTAGCAGTGTCCTAGTACATAGCATTAGCACTCTCCTCCGCTGTATCCGGCAGCAGCGTTAGCAGCAGAGAAGCCGGACTTGCTCGAACGGTCCGCTGGAAAACCGAAGATCAAGAACGTGGCAACGCAGCCCTGCCACAGCAGCCGTCCGTGGGCAAACAAATCAGTCTCCAGCGTGCTGCTGTCCAGCAACCTCGAATCTGTAGGGGAGGGGGGGCGGACACAACTCGCAGCAGTATTTTGAATTTGAGTGCAGTAACTGTTTTGGCCACATTCTTACATACAGTGCCTTTAAATTGAAAATGGAATGAACGAATGATACACAGATCCTGCTGCCACAGCAAGCGAGCACGCCGTCTGCCAAGTCGGAGTCAAACTGAGGCCCTGTTTAGACGACAACGGTTTCTCTAAAAACGGAAAAGTCTGTCCTTTGCGTTTTAAAAAACTTCTGCGTTTATATGAGGACGTTATTGAAACAATCCCTGTTCACACAGAGCTGCAAAATCTATTGGAAATGCTGTAGTATGCACGCCAGGCCAATGGGTGGCAGTGTAAATTTGCAAAGCAACACCAAAGCATGACGCCATGCGCCTGCGCTGAAGCGCCTTCCTCTACAACACGGTGATTACAAACCACAACAAAGAAGACACAATGGCGAAAGCATGCACAGATAACTTTGTCTGGATGGACAACGAGGTGGAGTTGCTACAGTAACAGATCTACACTTCCCTTCAAATCAACAGGGTGAGCAGCACAAACAGAGCTCGGCATTGTTGTTGTGACCGTTGACTTCCTTGTGCATGCCTAGTGACTGGAACCGTAATGCGCATGTGCGAAAAGTCTCCGTTTTCAGAGGAACTGCATATTGCAAGTTTACATGACAACGGAGACGCTGCCGTTTCCAAAAAATTGCACTCTGGAACCCGTTTTCAAAACGTTGCATTTTCAGACACTCAAAATGCAGCTGCCAAAACGCAACTAGAGTTTACTGTTTTCAGTTGAAATCGTTGTTGTATAAACGGGGCCTGAGACCAGCCAGTTCACATCGCTGCAACTTTCCTTTGCAATGTGCGAAAACAGTTTTGTCTTGTCGTGAATCTTTGGTCTGAACTGGGCTTAATGAAACAAGAGCATCATCATCACTACTCAAAACTGGTAATACTTTTCACTTACTTTTCTGAAGAGTTCCTCAATGTCATCCTTATGCGCGAAGGTGTTAAATACCTCAACAATATACTGGATGAGAAAAGACCCCAGATCTCTTTGTCTATATGAGACAGTATCTGGAGGGAAAACATACCCAAACAGAAAATATATTTGTTGTTACATAAACATCCTTTGCTATTTTTCATGGAGATTATTAATCTTCATTGTGTTGTGAGGTGCAGAATAAGATATCACAATATTTGAGTTAACTGACCAGGAGTGCAGGAAAGAAGAGCAGTAAAGTCTTTTTCTTTGTGTACACATTTCACCGTATCAGCCTCTAAGTTGTCTTCATCAGCAGGCGGGGGCACATTTGACTGTGACGCATCATCACTGACCACATCTCTAACAAATGCTGATCCTTCCTCCTCTGAAACACATGAAGCATACTTTAAAACAGTGTACGAGACCTTGCTCACATAAAGACAAACAAGACTTCAGCAGACTCCTAAAATAATGTCTATAGATGTTTGTAATAGTTTGGGGTCACCTCCTCTGCACGCCTGGATGATGATGATCTTGGGTTTGTCCAGCAGCGCTGGACATTTCTCTGAGCCCAAGTGTTTGTAAATGTTGTCGATGAGGAACTCATCTGGTTTCTCATCACCCTTTTTCCAGTCGACACCGAGGACTTTTCCCAGTTTCCCATGAGACATGATGACCACTATCACACTATCTGTCTCTTTGAGTTTCGGATGTTTAGAGAACTTAAGTATAGCATCATCAATCGCCTGTGAGAACACAAAAAGTCAGACATCCGTTACTATACCACAAAATCAACCAGGGAAAAAAAAATAAAGGCTATATATATATTTTATGCGGTACCTTTCCTGTGAGGTTTGTGTATTTCACCACCTCATATTTCAAAGCCGTGAGCAGTTTCTCCATGTTCTCCTCGTCCTTGTCAGCTCCATTTCTGTTCATCTTCTCATCAGTAAACTTTATATTAGTGATCAGCAGGGCCACACGGTTCTTAATGGATTTTTTGTCCACAGGGTAAACCTAAGAAACAAATTTAAAGGAAGCAAGTATTACAAAAACACACCATGTGTCTGACAATATATTGTAGACTTTAATGTTTCTCCACTTGTCTGTCCAAGAGAGGTTAAATCCATCATTTAAAGCAATACTTCACCCACAAAATGACCATTTGTAAATTAGTTGTGCCATGTTACTGTTGAATTTGCAAAGAAAACTTTTTTTCTTCGCATACCTTCACGGAAAACAGCAAACATATTGATTCATTTATTGACTGGGGACCACTTTTATCAACTATATCAAAGCATCCAATTATCTGGTTGTGTAAAATGTCCTTGGGTGACTTATTATTATAAATATGCACATATTTGGGAAGTATTGAGCATATGACTAGATAAAAAAAGACTTGGATTATGCAGCATGACTTGTGTGAGAATTTGTAACCAAATGTATTTTTAATAGTTTTGATGCTGTTAAACATGGTGCCCAATCAGTTCATAAATATGCTGGCTGTTTTCAATGAAGGCATGCTAAGAAAACCAAGTTTTCTTCACAAAGTCAAAGTAACAGGGCATGATTAATTAATATACAAATGGTAATTTTGTGGGTTAAGTATTCCTTTGAGGCCATGTGAGATATTTGATGTCATTTGTTTTAATGACTGACATTGTTATCATTCACTTTGTCCATCCAGAATGACACAGTGTCCAATCTCTGCTGTGAATGTGAGCAATCAGCTTCCTGCTGGCTTCGTCTGCTTTCTTCTCCACTGTGTCAATAAGAACGCGTGTCTTGTCTGCTGTGGTGCTGTACTCCTCTATTATTGAATCTTTCTCGCCATGATTCAAGACGCCATCGTCTAAAAGGTCGTCCAGGAGCTGCTTAATCAGTACGTTGGACACTTTGTCCACAAATTTTCTCCTCACTCTGCCGAGCTCAACTGGAAGAGGGAATATGAAGCAACATTGACATAAACTGGCTGGACAAAATAATACAGACATCTGCAAGTGCAAGGCAATACAGTTCAATACAATTTCTGATTCAACGCACCACAAACTACATCCTTCAAAATGATCATCAAGTTGGATCAACACCTTTAAAAACAGTTTTAACAAAAATATTACACCGTTCATGCAGGTAGGATTTATTGCAGGATGTTGTATTAACTGTTGTATTAACCCACTTGTATTGCACCAAAGAGTAAAACTGTCTGTGCCAACAATGTTCCGGTGCTGTGGAAGCTTTTCTTTTTGCATTTCCTCCATATCCTTTATATCAGATGTCATTTTCTTCAACTGCTCGACAAGTGAAGGCAAAAGCACTGTTAACACTGTTATCTAGTGTGAGTGTCTTTGAGTTTAATCGTTAACCTGCCGTGGCGAGCACCCTAACTTGTTTAATCTAATCACACTGTTGCAGTGATGGCTGTATTTACGAGTTTGAGGTTGTTCCAAAGGTCACAATCTTAGGGGGCGATCGCACAGAAATGAGATGCAGAAACGTGGACGCTTCAAAGACGCTTGAAACACTGGAAGCACTTATTCAGTGCACACTAGACAAAAAAAAAAAAATCAGCAAGGAGCACCTGTGGAGCAGGGGTGCGTGCGCAACGGGCAACACACACACACAGTAGAGAAGACAGTAGAGACAGTAACTTACATGAAACTAGTACTGAGTTGTGCGCATGTTGTCTAATTCTTCAAAATCAAATATTGTCAGGATAAATTTCTCGTCTTCGGATTGCATTGTGTTGTCTGACGTTGGTAACTGCCACAACAAAACAGGGAGGAGGATTTGATTGGCTGCCTGGGCCAATGACGACAATGACGAATGGTGCTACTGGCGCCTGACGTTCAAAAAAATTGAAAATATTTTAACTTTTCAGCGTCTATGCGCGTCTAAAAACGAGCATCTAGTTTCATAGTCGACACAAAGGCACGCAGACGCTAACGCATTGTGACGCATCGAGACGCATTGGCCGCCATGATACGTGCTTGCGACACGTGTAATACGTTGCCAGCAGGGGTGATAATGCAAGCGACGTACTTGAAATTAACCACTTTTTGTTATTCACAGAACAAGCAGGTACTCAGTCAGTAGTACAAAGTGTGTGTGTGTGTGTGTGTGTGTGTGTGTGTGTTGCCATCCTCGAGAGGCTGCAGGAGATACAGCAGGAGAGAGAGAGGGATGGAGAAGGAGAGAGAGCAAGAGAAAGAGAGGCAGAGAGAAAGGAGCGACATACAAGTCACTTTTTGTAATTACCTGTGCACTTTTTTACAAGGTCTCCCACAGGAACAGAGCGCTATATCGATGCACAACATCAAACAACTGATGCGGCACGCACCACGAATCTTTGGTTAGGCCGATATGCAGTCATGCCTACATGTTAGATTAATTAGGTTCATTTTGTCTTCTTTTTAAAAACTTGTTCAATATTTTCTTGTCTTTAGACAAAAAAACATGTAGGAGATGTATCTTTTACCTGCTTGACAGTTTCGACTGTGACTCCAGTCTTCCTCAGAAGTGTCATCCGACGTGTTGCTGACGTGCTACTGCGAGCCTTCTGCGTAGCCACGTACCCTACGACGTATTGACGTCGTTGATTTAACGCAGGACCATAAATCAGGCTTAATTTATCAGCTGACCGGCCCAACAGACCTATCGGAATCTGTTGGGCCGGTCACACCCCCGCTGTTATACGGTCTCTGGAGGAGGGAATCCCATGCACACCTGGAATTCCCTCTCCTCTGTTGGGCCGGCCAGCTAATAAATGACGTCCTCTTCAGTAGCCATTTTGACCTCAATATCAAATATGATTTCACCCGTAATGTACCGGTGACTCTGCTACCCCCTACTGTGAAAGCGATGTATTGCATTTCAAGTGTCGCCCGCGTCGCTTGCGTTCAATGTTGAAAGGAAGCGCGTCGCTCGCGTCGCTTGCTCGCGTAGCATGCGTCAACTATGAAACGGCCCTAAAAAGAAGCGTCTACAAAAACGCGCGTCTAAAAAGACGACGGAAAAACACCCGTTTGTGTGTGGGAAGGCTGTTCACTTCAGTGGCAACACCACATATTTTTAAACAATAACAAAATAAACATGTTTCCTGCTTTACGCATAGAGATTATATCATCAGTAGCCTACTAGCCTACAGTTCACTGCTGCAGGCTCAAAAAAGAACCATTGCTCCAAAAGTTCCCTCATTTGTTATTTAAACCATATTTTAAATAGGCTGAGTTTTTAAAAGCTCACCACCTTCCAACAGAAAGGCCTTCTTCCCTCACACGGTGGCGGCGGCTTCGGCTTCGGCTTCGGCTTCTTCTTCTTCTTCTTCTTCTTCTTCTTCTTCTTCTTCTTCTTCTTCTTCTTCTTCTTCTTCTTCTTCTTCTTCTTCTTCTTCGTGGAGTTTAACCTCACACGGTGGCAGACAAGGGCGCAGCCATATATCCAATCCATACCGGAAGTCCATACCGGAAGTCCATACCTTCTTCTTCTTCTTCTTCTTCTTCTTCTTCTTCTTCTTCTTCTTCTTTTGAATTTTGGAGGAGTGGTCTAGGTATCTAAATTATCTCTTATGTATTCAAATTTATGTATGTCAAACAAAACAAACAAAAGAAACAAAACAGTCCAAAAAAAATAAAAATAAATAAAACAATCAAAATTCACATAACATCAAATGACCCGGCCTTATATTCTATTCATTAATCTAGTTGATTTTAAAAAATTCATTAGCTGTTTCCAGCACTCGTCACCTGAAGATTTTCATAATATGTTAATGATATTGACTTCCCCTAGCTTTCTTATTTCCTCCTTTAACACAGCTCTCTCTGTTATATATCTTTGGCAGTATAATAGAATATGGTCCACTGTTTCCTCCTCTCCACAATGTTCACACTTTTCTGTATCATGTTTTTTTTATTAAAAACATAGAACTGTTTAACCCAGTATGCCCATTACTTCATCTGGTTATAACTCTCTCCTCGGTCCTGTTCCGCCCGCCTGTTCCTGCACTCCCTACTGGTTTATGTTTGAAAAGGTACCGTCCTTTACTCTCCTTGTTCCACTCATTTTGCCACCTCTTTCTGATCTGTCTCTTTATCACCCCCTTGACTTCTGATTTGCTAATATTTACATGGAGTTTATGCTCACTCCTCAAAGCTCCTTTGGCTGCTCCATCTGCCCTCTCATTCCCTTCAATCCCGATGTGTGCAGGAACCCACACAAAACTGACAGACAAGTGCATATGCTTGATTCTAAATAATGACATCATTATTTCAAATAATAAGTCTTCTCTGCATGTGGTGTTGAAATAAAATAAACTTTTTAATGCTGCTGCTGAATCTGATAGTATCAATACTCTTTCTGGCCTGCTGTCTTCTACCCACTGCAATGCAATTATTATAGCCATCATTTCACTTGTAAAGACAGATAATTCATCAGAGAGTCTCTTCCCGCATACCACATTCACTTCAGGGATGACTACTGCCGCTGCTGTTCTGCATATCTCTGGATCTTTTGAACCATCTGTATATATATGTAAATAACCATAGTATTTCTTTCTAATGTATGAATTTACACTATTAGTATTTCTCTCTTGTTCTTCATTTTCCCAATCCAGGAGGCTCAGATCTACCTCTGCCTGTGGCAGTAGCCAAGGTGGAACAGCTGGCAACACAACAGTTGGCGAAATTTAAATCCCCATTTCAGTGACCACTGCTCAACTCTTTTAATTGATTCCTGCAACTGTTTGACTACATATTTCACATTTCTTCCTCTTTTCCATAATGCTCCATCATCAGCGAACAGAGATCTCCCTATACTTTGGCAAATATCTTCATATACGTCATCAATCATTATTGAAAATAACAAGGGACTTATGACACTTCCTTGCGGTGTTCCATTATCCATACCATACCTTGCTGAAAATGTTTTCCCCACCCTCACCTCTATAGAACGTTCATACAAAAATTCCTTCACCCATCTGAACATTTTACCTGTTATACCTAAACTTTTCATTTTAATCAATA